TAAACGAATTCTCCTTGCCATTCTGGACTTTCAAGTTCTCAAAGCTACAAAAAAATAATAATAATACAAATAAATAGTAGGCATTTAGTGACGTAAGGTTGTTTTTACGTTCTCCGCAATTTTAATAGACACAATAATTTTTATAAATTTTAGTGCTGAAAAAAACTAAGGTGCATATATTTTAAATTCATTGCTTCGGCACTTATATGTATGCATGTACTTATATAAACTAGAGTATGAAGACAAAATACTTAACAAACTGTTAAAATCTGCAATTTCAGATATTTGAAACTCGGGTTATGAATAATTTTTCGGAAAATTTTTCTGAAAACTTTTATTTCCTTCTCTCCTTAACGTAAAATTAGTAAGGTACAAACAAAATCCACGCGTTCAGAACAAGAATTTTCTTCTAATTAATTTTTCAATTCTTTAACGTAGATAAAAAAAAGCTTTGGTGGAGTCTGCATTTTCCCGTGAACACGAATGTGTTTTTCCACTGCATTTCGAAATTTTCCATTTTATCACCGCTTAAGTTTTGGGTTTTCTTTTCAAGCGTGGCCGCCAGAGAGAGAATTACTGATCGGTATAGTTATTGGGCTCCCGCACACGTTGTAGAAACTAATTGGCTTACTTGCCCATTTTCCATTTGTTTTCGCGCCATTTGTATTAGGAATGTAACTTTTATAAATATCAATCGAAATAGAATAACATGAAGGCAGTGAAAATAGCCTGAGATCATCAAAGCCAAAAAAATTTTAGTCAACACTTGTACAATGAAATGACAGATTTTTAATTTTATTATATTGCCAAATACAACTAAAACTTTCGGGAGCTAAAAAAGTGCTATATAATTCTGAACAGAGCTAGGAGCCAAGGAACATTGAACAGGTAGTATCAGTAGAGCAGCTGATTTGATTTTTTTTTCAAATTATTTGGTTTTAATAAAAAAATTCTAAATTGATAAAATTTAATTACATACCTGTGAAACCATTGGCCACATAAAACAAGCGATTGAATAGCAGCTTTCGGAACGTTCGCCTAACTCGGCAGCGCAATCGCTCATTACTGGGTCTTGCAAAGGATGGATCAATGCTTCGAGAAACAAAAAACATTACTAGGAAAGAAAATTGCAACAATTTTTATTTTTCCCAACTTAATTTTTTATTTTTATTTTTTGCATCTCACATGGCACGCTTTAATTTAGAAGAAAAAATCAGAACAGTTAAAGCGCAGTTAGTCAACGACGTAGTGTAGTTGGATCATGGGACTGGACTATACAAACCTTTTATTAAGAACGCAAAAAAAAAGCAAATATTTTGCCCGATAGGTGGCGCAGCATTGGAGATATTTAGAAAATCCGTATTTAGGGTCCGATTTGTTTCATATTTCGAACATATACTATTTAAATGGAAAGAAATACCTACACAAAAAATTTAGCTGTTATAAAAGCTTAAAGCCACTTTTTCAAATTACAGTAAAACCCGCTTAAGTACCTCGCGAAAAATGTCAACTGTTTGAGGTACTTAGGCGGGTTGGGTACTTAAAAGAACCCGCTTAAGAACCTCAATGCGGGTACTTAAGCGAACATAATTACTGATGTAGTTACATCTTCTTGTTAACTTACATAAATACTTGAATAACAACATTGAATGAAGTATACATAGCTCAAAATCAAAATCGTAGCATTATTTAAATACATAAACAAGTAAAGAAAAACTTCATAAAAAAAAATATTTAGTGCAATGGTAAGTAATTTTTACAAGAATTAAATTGCTTAAAATGTCAGAGTTGGACATATCATTTGGACCAAATTCAAAATGATATTGTTTGCCACCTATGTTTATTTATTAATTTTTAAGATTTTTCAATCAATTAAAATACACTTCATTCCCTAACAAATACAATGTAAACCTATGCTCAAAATTTTTTAGAACACTTAAAAAAAATTCATCATAATTTCAAACTTTTTTCTAAGTGTTTTTTGAGTATACAGTTTCATAGCCCATTTCTTTTACCGAAGGTGTGTAGCGCTGCTACTCAATTTAAAAATACGTAAATATTTTAAGAATTTTAAAAGAGCACTCAAAAGGGGAAAATTATAAGTAAAATTGTAAATGGGGCACGAAAAATTTAGGTACTTAGGCGGGTTGCAAGAATGATAGAATACAAGATTGCGCCAATGAGAGAGGATTTTTGAGCGTAATTTTTGCATGACGTCATCTTGGTGCAATTGCGAGAGTGAAATACCAAAACGCATATAAAAATATGTACACAATGCAGAAAAATGTGTTAATTTTAATATTACACGGCCCAATTTGGCAGGAATCAATAAATATACAAAGATTGATTAATTAGGAACACGTAGCAATAATTTTGGACATGTAGCCCTTTAGGTAAGTACTACGATTTTTAGCACATGAAAAAATGGATGTATTTGAAATTTCATGTAGACCAAAAGTAAGGTGTGCAGCAAAGTGAATTTTTGGACTCGCCATTGTAAAAAGCCATGCAGAGTGCATATTTATACTTTATTTGAAGAATCTTCTTTTTAAAAGAATCAGGTACTAACAAAAATAAGTAGGTAGTGAAGTACTGCCCATGTATCTACTGTAGAAACTGATTTTGTATTTATGCCATTGCCAGCAAACTAAACTAAACACCAACTGTCTACATTCACCATGGAAATATACCAACTACAATTCACCAAGGAAAGACCAACATATAGTTCCATGTAGAAGCTCATAGCTCACACGCATAGCACAAAGCTCGATTTGGTGTTTAATGCATCTCCTCGCCGGCAGAGGCAAGCGGGTTTCACTGTACTTGTTTTCAAATATGTTCATAACGTGTTTTAATGTATCTATGTATATACTTATGTATGCATGCACATATTATGCTTGTACCTACATACATACATATATTAACCAAAACAAATTTGTAAATGATGTTAGTTATATTTATGTATGTATGTCAATAAATAAAATTAAGTCTATATTCATTTTATAACAATATATACGTTACTACATTACATTAATTTAAACAATTAACTAAAACTATTTTAATCTATGTATGTACATGTATGTATTATTTCCACTTAGGT